TAAAAAATAATTTTTATTTTTTTCGTCTTTCTTTCCTCTTTCTTTCCTCTCGCCATACGCGGAATATCGTGGAAAATTAGTAGCCGTAAGTAGATTAAATTAATGTAAAAGCGAAGTACGTAATTTATCGCGTAAAGGTGGGAAAATTTTGATGCGATTGCGATTCGAATTAATGATACGGGCGAAGATGATTTTGCCTCGAAATGTGAGCAAAGCTTCGATCGAAACATTTTCCGATAATCCTCTCAGTCGGGCGTAGATTAAGCTCGAACACGTCACACAACCGTACTTCAGTTTGCTGTCAAATGCAAATACCGCGTGTTCTTGCGAGCTAATGTCGAATCGCTATTGTCGAAAGAAGCGTGTTCTAGGTAGGGATACAATCGAATAGCGCTTTTAAATAAATCGTTATTCACTTTTGCTCTTAACATTTTATATATCCACTTTGCTTAAATAAATATTTATAGCTTGCGATTTTTATTAAATTTCATTTTCATCGTTGATTCGGTCGACTTAAATCCGTTGTATTTATATCGCGATATTCACGATTGTTTTTTTTTTTTTTTTTTTTTGCATCGTTAGGAACGAAATTTCCGAATATGGGACACAAAAAAGCGAGGAAACGGTTTATTATTGTGTTCGTATACGAACCGAGTGGAAAAAATTGAAAGCTTATTTTAATAATTCTGATCGTAGATCTCGTTTTCTTTAGCCAGCGTTAATTTTTTTTTATAATTGATCGCACGTGCCGATGGATATTATCTCTGTTTCTGTTCTATTCTATTTTAAACAGATTACAATTCATTCAATTTTGTATTCGGATAAATGTGGATATTTCGAATATTTTTTCTTTACTCTTTTCTACATTTTTTCCCGCGAAATTCATCTATAATTACGCAATCAAAGATGGCCGCTCTTCGTTCGAATTCATTCGTTTCAAATTTAATCGTTCGTTATCGTTATTTTTCCAAACGATTCGACCTACAATTCTCCCAACATCATTCCATAATGGTTTTTAAAACTTCTTCGCCGATTCTACGAAATTCTCAGCGTTCGAAAACTCGAATATTAGAGATCCTTTCACATTCAAAATAGCGAGAAGCGCGAGTCGAGCATGTTTCTGCTGCGAAAGTTGTCGGCCTTCTCCATCAGGAGAATTCTACCTGATAAACTGCGAACATCGGAATCGTCGATTAGAAATTAATGGAAACATCCATTAAGCAGGCCTGTTGGATCGAAACTATTTTATACGTACGTTGCACCGTGTCGGTTGCAAAGTTTGCAACAGGTACGCGACAAGACGTGGTCGATGTATCCAGCTGTTGTGCGACAGGTCAGCTCTACCAGTTCTC